TTCTTGGACTCTTGCCCAAAGCATCTGTTTTCCTTGTAATTTGGATGGGCAGAAGGTACTTCCCCAGCCTTGCTTGTCCTGAGACCATCTAGTTCTTGTCTTGCCCTACACATCTCAATATTGATTCTTTTTTCCTTTTTTCTTGGGACCCATTTAAGTGTCTTTTTTTTTTTTTTTTTTCCCCACAGGGTCTTATTCTGTTGTCCATGCTGGAGTGCAGTGGCACGATCTCGGCTCACTGCAACCTCTGCCTCCAGGTTCAAGTGATCCTCCCGCCTCAGCCTCCCTAGAAGCTGGGATCACAGGTGCGCGCCACCGCGCCTGGCTAATTTTTTTATTTTTAGTAGAGACGGAATTTCACCATGTTGGCCAGGCTGGTCTTGAACTCCTGACCTCAGGTGATCTGCCCGCCTCGGTGTCCCAAAGTGCTGGGATTATAGGCCAATTTAAGTGTCTTTGACACATAAAAACGAAAGGTAGAGCAGTATCAATAGAGATTGTCCCTCTTGGCAGAGAATAAAAGGTTCTCTCTTTGTCTTGTTTTTGGAACCTGTAGACAGTTCTCAGGTGTCCAGTTCCTTACCTCTTTTTGCCTCCTTCCCTCTATACCTACCTCCATCTATAACTATCTCTCTGTCAAATGTCAGCTATAACTGTCCACCTAATTGATTCTACTTGTAAATCCTTGTAGAGCAAGGGAGCTCATCATGTTTTGAATGTTTTAATATAAATTTTGCTACTTTGAAAGAATTTAAGAACATTTCAGGACTGGGTGCAGTGGCTCACACCTGGAATCTGAGCACTTTGGATGGCCAAGGTGAGCGATCACTTGAGCCTAGGAGTTTGAGACCAGCCTGAGCAACAAAATGAGACCCCATCTGTATAAAAAAAATAGAAAAATTAGCTGAGCATGGTCTTGCAAGCCTGTAATACCAGCTACATGGGAGACTGAGGTGGGAGGATTGCTTGAGCTCAGGAGTTGGAGTGTTCAGTGAGCGATGATGGAGCCACTGCACTCCAGCCTGGGTAAGAGAGAGACCCTGTTTCAGGAAAAAACAAACAAACAAAAACCCTGAAGAAAAAAAAAACCCAACACTTAGAAGTATTAAAGTTGTGATTTAATCAAATGCTTAGAGGCATTATTACCATTTCAAGCAGTGTATGCATGTTTGGAGGCATTTTAACTCTTTAAACGTTTCATTTTTTAATTTTTTATTTAATTATTTATTTGAGACAGCATCTTGCTCTGTCACCCAGGCTGGAGCAGAGTGATGCAATCTCGGCTCACTGCAATCTCTGCCTGCTGGGCTTAAGAGATTTTCGTGCCTCAGCCTCCCGAATAGTTGGAATTACAGGTGCATGCCACCACACCCATCTAATTTTTGTATTTTTAGTAGAGATAAGGTTTCACCATGTTGGTCGGGCTGGTCTCGAAATCCTGACCTCAAGTGATCCACCTGCCTTGACCTCCCAAAGTGCTGGGATTATAAGTATGAGCCACTGCACCTGGCCTGAGTGCTAGTTTGATATTTTCTTTTTTAGTTTTTTTTCTTTTTTTTTTTTTTTTTAGATGGAGTCTTGCTC